CCCGGTTAAGGATCATCTACTTGCATTTATGCTTTGTGACTCCTTGAGGGTTGCAGTTTGAAGGTGAGCTAGGCGGTGAAGGATTGCCCTTTTGTTTGGTCACTGCATTCTACACTGCTTTGTGCGGAAGATTCATACACCATTTGTTTTTTAGGACTGTTTTTTGGGACTGTTTTGTTGTTTTTGTGGGACATTTTTTTTCCCATCTTTTTTTGCTATTTATTTCATATACATTTTACTGCATTTACCTTTTTTAGGTCACTTTTTAGATCGCCATTTGATTACAATGGTTTTCCTCATTTATCTACTTCACTTGATGTTTTCTAGCCATCATTTGACCACGTTTAATTTCATTTTTCCTCATGCTACTTTTGTATTGACATTTTAGAACGTTTTTGGTTTTTATATGTGACTTCATGTCACTTATCCACTGACATTTGTTGTTTTTTCACCTTTTGACCACGTTATTGCACTTGTTACATATACTGTGGATTCATTCCTGTGGATATTATTGTGCACAGTAGTTTCTTGTTTTATGTGGATTGTTCACTTATTTTCTGTTTATGGGATTGTTCACTCGTTTATCAGTAGTTTTGTGTCATTGTGTATTGAGGCTCACTCATTCTTGGGGTAAGTGGCACTACACCATTTTTCCCACTTATTGTCTTTCACTATTTGTTTATAGTCAGGTGTGTTAGCAGCCACTTCATTTTCTTTTTTGAGTTAGTCCATTTGGCAGTGCAGTGGATTTTTCCTTTTTCTTTTTCGCACGTGTTATTGCTGCTGTACCACACTGCACCCCACCTATAAGTGGACAGTCAGCATAGATTAATGCTTTATAAATATTGGCATGCAGATTTTTTTTATATTGTGGAAATTCACAGAACTAATGTATCCAGATAATCGCAATTCTTGAACAGAGTTACATGCCTGCACGACTTTTGGAGAATGGAGGAATTGTGGTTACCCTTACCTTAAAATGTTTGAGTACAATGAAGGGGTAGGGGGTGGGAACATGTGATACATCTCTGAAATCCATGCACTAAGCAATGTTTTGTCTCTTTACAGAATTCCTTCCCCTTTCTTCAATATTATGACACAAGAAGGGTGTTATTACAGTACAGCAGGAAGGAACTGCGGCAGGGTTAACAACGCATTAGTGCAGCAAATTCAAACTGTCACTTCAAACACATACTTGATTTCTGGCAGGACCAACCATTACACTCCTGTTATTAATATTGTGACAAATTGCCTGGCACCCCACTTGGGTGCTTCTGTCATTGAGCTGCTTCCTCACCACTGGAACACAGGAACAAATGGGCATTGCACCCAAGAACTAGACAACACTAGTTTAAAATGTTAATAAACCCAAAACCGTAAAATCAGTATGTATATGCAGTAAAGCATGCTTGTTATACTGACTGTGGAACCTAAGGGGTTAATCCTCTGCATTGTGTAAAAAGGCTGTTTGATCGTTTCTTCTCTGTTCCTACCCTTTTTCAAGAGACCACCACTTATCTCCAGACTGAACTGTAGGCCTGCACATGCTCAGTTTGGTGTATATTGCTAGAGAGGGTTTTTCTTAGGAGAGTGCATGTGATCAGCACAAGGCCAATCAGCACTGTCCAGAGGTCAGGGGATTTCCATCCTCCTAGAGCAGAAAGAAAACTCCTGAAAGCTTTAGCTAGTGCTGGGCTGGATACAAAAGCCACAAGGCTACTATATACGGCTGATGAGACAGTATTTAGCAGTTTTATATTTACTAAAATAATTTCACTTCCATGTTCTGTGTACTGTGGGAGACCAGATATAGTGAATGCAGGGCCCTGGGTTTAGTATCACGAAGTGCAAATGAACTACTTTACTGAATACAAATACAGATTTTTATACACTTCAGAAATACAGTCCCCACATGAACAATAAAACAAATTAAATTAAAATTGTGGGATAAACATCCCACAATGATTAGGGAACAAGGTCAAGTTGACACAAGACTAATCCTATTATGTGGAAACCTCCAGGAGAATTAGCCAACAGACAAACAATAAATGACTCAATTAGCAATAGGAAAAACGCACAACACCTTTAATAAACAGATTACAGCAGGAGACCTCAACATCAGGTTGTTTTGAGCTGATTATATTAAAATCTACTCTGTCTAGGTAGGTAGTCAATGCTGGTTTGGGCAGAGACCCCAAATCTGTATCCAGGTCCTCCAGTTCAGACTGTGTGTGTGTTTTGGGGAGACAAGGACCTGAATCCAAAAAACTGTTAATGTATAATTTTGCATGATTACCCTTCCAGAAAATAAAAATTTAAATGTGGCTTTAATAAGTGTTCAGAATACCCTCTAAATTTTATAAACTCCATAAGACGTAAACTGTGTGTATCAAAATTTTATTAAAATAAAAACCCCAAAAACTTGTGAATCCGAATCCTAAAGAAGTGTCCAGATAAAGAAAAAAAATATTCTGTGAAGAAAAGAAACACATTTTGAAACTGTGGAAAATGTACTGCGGATGGGTGGCCCATACAGCAGGGCCGAATCAAGCGGTCTAATGTGGGGTGCAGTAAAAAGTCAGTGGGGGCAGAGGATGGGGAGGTCAGCAGGACAGTGTACAGAAACAGGAATCGATTGGGCAGAGTACAGTTGGTTAGCAGGGTGTGTGTGGTGTGTGTGTGTGTGTGTGTGTGGTGGTGTGTGTGTGTGTGGTGTGTGTGATGCAGGTGTGTGGTGTGTGTGTGTGTGTGTGTGTGGTTTTTTTTGTCCTAACCCGTGTGTTTTTTCCCTAACCCGTGGTTTAGAACAAAAAATTTAAATGGCTGATTGCATGGGCTGCCTTACTGAGCAGGTGACCTAACATTGGACCCCCCACCTTACCCCCTCCTCAGTCCGTTTTTTTACCTCCCACAATCTTGCACTGTCAAGTTTCTGTATGCCGCTCCATCGGTCAGGATTTCAAATCCCTGCGACTTAATCTCCCCTCTGTACTGTGCAGCCAGTATGGAGCAGACTGATTCTAATTGGTCAGCACTGTCACATGAATGACAGTGACCAAACTGTCTAGCTTGTCCTATCAACACAGCAAGGAGATTTCAAATTCCCTGACTTGTAGAGTGCCATGTGGGAACATGACGGTGCAGCATCATGGTAGGTAAGTACAGCAAGACTATTGGGGAAGGGAAGGTGGTCCAGTCACCTTGCAGTGTAGAAGAACTTCATTAAAACCAGCAACGGTTGTGAAAATGAACATCTTGGTCAGGTCAATTTACAGAATAATGTATAGAGTGCAGGGGTCAAGAGGAGTGCCATATTCACATCAGAGTCTTCCCTTACCTCAAAGTGCACAGCATTCCTCCTACACATCAGAGTTCCCCCTTACATCCATGTCTCAAAAGTTCCACCTGACAACCGTGTCCCCAGAGGGTTTTCACCTTACATCGGGGTCCACAGAGTTCCCCCTTACACCAGAGTCCCATCTTAGAGCAGAGTACTGCCCCTTACATCAGAGCCCAGCAGAGTGCCCCTTTACACATACCTTCACCGCTGGCGGGCGACTGACCTGAAAAGGCTTTAAAAAAAAAAAAAAAAAAAAATCTCATTAGTCCCTGGCTCTGAACTGAGCATGCGCAGTTCCAGAGCCAGCCAATTAGCGAACTGCTAATTGGACGGCTCCCCCCCCCCCCCCCTTCCCAGCCAGTGTCACTACAGTGACCATGTATAGTAGTATCTCTGTATTACTGTCACTGGTGATATCCGTGGTGGTTAGGCAGTTCCCATCCAGTGTCCGCGTCAGATTACACAGTCCTACTATAAGTTGCTGATCACCGCCGTTGTGTGTATGTATGTATGTATGTATATCTATCATATATACATACCATAGTAGTTGGTTGAATCTATAACTTTCATGCAAATCAATCAATATACTTTTTTTTTTTTTTTTTTTTTTTTTTTTTTTTTGAGTCTTTTTTTACCAAAGACATGTAGCAAAATATATTTTAGTCCAATTTTATAAAGACTTTTTTTTTTTTTCAAACTTTTTGTGTGCGTGCGTGTGCGTGCGTGTGTGTGTGTGAGATTATATATAATATATATATATTTGCAAGTCCGCGCAATTACCAGTTAAAGTAGCGCAGTGCTAAGTTATAAAAAATGGCTGCCTGGTCATGAAAGGGGTAAAACCTTCTGAGGCTGAAGTGGTGAATGTATCCAAAATAATTTTTTACTGTCCCTGACTGAGCCAAATCCTCCATTTGTCTCACTTGCAGCTCACAAAAGGAAGGGTTGCAGCAACAAATGCAGTGCTGCCACTAGATGTGGCCAGGTGCTGACTGACAAGCTACAGGCATGTGAATCGGCTGAAAAAAATGCTAAGCCATGCCCCTACAACCCTTTTTTTTTTTTTTTTTTTTTTTTTTTTTTTTTTTTTTTTTTTTTTTTTTGTACCATACTATAGTGCAAAGAGTTACAGCCTATGTGAAATTGGCAGGTTGCCACTTCATCACAGGAAGTTGCAGTAGGTGGACTTCACAGATTTTTGTAAGACTTTGCAGATGCACGAAGACATTTGTGTACAGATGCACATATTTAAAATGATTGTGTTTGTGGAATTGTTTACCATTATTATTATTATTACAATTTAACCACTAGCCTACAGGGCACTTATACCCCCTTCCTGCCCAGGCCAATTTTCAGCTGTTAGAGCTGTTGCACTTTGAATGACAATTGCGCAGTCATGCAACACTGTACCCATATGAAATTTTTATCATTTTTATGTGACACAGAGCTTTATTTTGGTGGTATTTAATCACCTCCTGGGTTTTTTATTTTTTCTTAAACCAAAAACCACTGACAATTTTGAAAAAAAACAACATTTTTTTCTTAGTATTTGTTATAAAATTTTGTAAATAAGTGATTTTTCTCCTTCACTGATGTGCGCTAATGAGGCTGCACTGATGGGCACTGAAAGGCAGCACTCATATATGGCACTGATAGGCGGCACTGACTGGCACTGTTTGGCCGGCAGTGATGGGACTGATAGGTGGCACTGATGGGTGGCAATGATTGGCAGCACTGATAGGTGGCACTGACTGACACTGAAAGGCAGCTCAGATGGGCACTGATATATGGCATTGATGTGCACTGGTAGGCACTGAAATGTGGCATTGATGTAGCACTGATGGGCACTGGCAGGTGGCACTGCTGGGGTTATACAGATCATCAGGGCATACTGATCATCAGTGCCCTGATGATCAGTGTACATGTCCCCTCTGAGGGATGCCGATTACCGGCTCTCCTCTCCTCTTGAGCTGTCAGCGTGACAGCTTGTGAGGAGAGAAATGCCGATAACCGGCATTTCCCTATTTACATGTGATCAGCTGTGATTGGACATAGCTGATCACATGACCGAGCCGACCTCTTCGGCTCTTTCCATTGATTGGTGATCCACTGTGTCCGAGGGACACAGCGCATCGCCGTGCTGCGCGCTCCCGGAGCCGCGCATGCACGGTTAGAATGGGAGGACATCATATGACGTCCTCCCAGAACAAGAGAACTGCCTTGCGTCCGTCATTTTACTATATGGCGGGCGGGAGGCGGTTAAAAAGAAACCTGTTTTACTTACCTGCTCTGTGCAATGGTTTTGCACAGTGCAGTCCCAATCCTCCTTTCTCAGCAGCTCTTCCCCTCTGCTGAGTGCCCCTGAAGCAAGCTGCTTGCTCCGGGGGCACCTGTGCACGCTCACTCCCGAGCCCTGCTCTGTGTCACGCAGAGCATGGCTTGGCCCTGTCCCCCACTCCCTCCTCACTGGCTGTGATTGACAGTTTTTCTGTGGTATCTGAACCAATGAAGAGCGAAAGAGCCTCAGCTCTCGTGCACATTGCTGGATTGAGATCAGGCTCTTTTTAAAGGGAGGATGCGGGGGGGGGGGCTGCATATGGAAGATATTTATATATATATATATATATAAATATATATATATATGCAGCAAGGCAAAAAAAAAAACCTGCCTTTACAAGCACTTTGTGCCGCATCACTTTTTTTTGTGTATTGGGAGGCCATAGTTCTTCATTAAGACCAACTGAGGTGTAAGCCTCTTAATGCAGATTCAAGAGACTCTGTCTGATCATATTCACCCAAGGAACTAGCCCAGATTTATTCAACTGAGAAGGAACACATTCAGAAAGCACAATTATCTATATGATGTTAATATGCAACAAATTAAACCTGTACTGATTAATGTACCAACATCTCTCCTTTTTCAATGCAGAATCTCGAGAGGAGATTGAGTATACTGCCATACCTAAGAAAAAAGTGCCTTCACAAAAACTCCACAGAAATCCATTTCCACGTCCAGTTGTGGCATTGCTACCTCAGCGAACTACCCTTGTGCCTCTATCTATTTTTCGGAATACAAAATCTGCTCCTTCTAGCCCAGGAACTAAAGTAAGTTTTTTTTTTTTTTTTTTTTTTTTTTTTTTTTTTTTTTTTTTGTTTTTGGATGTTGTACCATTTCTATATACAAGTACGGTATTAGATTTTACATGTAGTTTAGCATATTAATGCCATCTTCTGCAGTTAAAGGTAATGATGGTATTTGGGTTTTGTAATTTATTATGAAGACTATACTGTAGAATGCATGCACTAAATGTGTAATATTTAGATATGTGGGTTGCACTACAGTAGCAATAAAATTTAGCTGCTAGCACAAAATGGTGAAAATTCAACTGAATATACAGGTGCAGCACTTTTAACAAAACTTAGTATCAATAATACAAAATAAAATATTATGGAATGAGCGTGAATGGCTCTGTGTCACTGACAGATAATAATGAATAAACAATGTAATAATGTGATCAGGGGCGGAATGACAACTCATGGGGCCCCAGGGCAATAGGGGATCATGGGGCCTCTGTGTCCTTGCCCAAACTCAAAAAAGGCTATGAAAAAGGTACCAGGGGCATCTCATAGGGCCCCCTACTGACCCCGGGCCCTCGGGCAGTGCCAGAGTTTCCAAATGGTCAGTCCGCCCCTGAATGTGATCAACTTTTACAAATACACAAAGCATCAATATTAACCACTTGCCGTCTGCCCTATAGCAGAAGTAGTGCTACAGGGTGGCATGGGTGCGCAAAATCACGTGTGTACGTGATTTTGCATCTCTGGGTAGGGGGCGCGCGCACGCCCTACCCACACAGCTATTCGCGGCAGTCGATCACTGGGTCCCGGCCGATTACTCGCCAGCACCCAGTGATTGCCAAGCATCTCCGATGGAGGGGGGAGAACGGTTTGTAAACAAAACTGTTTCTCTCCCCTGTCCGCTCCTGCACACTGCTTTGCATGGCTGTGCATAACACAGCCACACAGTGTAAAACACACAGTTAATCCTTTGATCACCCCACATGTTAACCCCTTCCTGCCCAGTGCCATTAGTGCAGTGTCAGTGCTTTTTATCAGCACTGATCACTGTATTGGTGTCACTGGGGATGTCAGTGACACCAACTCCGTTCCTCCCAGTGTCAGAATGCCCACTGCAGTCCCACTATAAGTCGCTGATTGCTGCCATTATTAGTAAAAAATGTTAAAAATATAAAAAGTATCCATACCGACATTTGTAAACAGTTTTTTTTGTTTGTTTTTTTTCTTTATTTCTCCGCGTAAACCAATTAATTTACACATATTGGGATTTTTTTTTTTTTTTAGCAAAGACATATTTTTCTCACAATTCAGTCCTTCCCTTTTTTGCGCTATAAAAAAAAAAAAAAACAGTAGAGATGATCAAATACCACAGAAATAAAGCTCTATTCGTGGGGGGGGGGGGGGGGGGGGGGAAGGACGTAAATTTCATTTGGGTTCAGCATTGCATGACCACGCAATTGTCAGTTAAAGTAGCGTAGCGCTGTATCGCAAAAAATGGACTGGTCAGGAAGGGGGTTAAATCCTTAGGAGGGCAAGTGGCTAAATAAAAGTTTTAATGTTGCAAAACAGCCTTCGATATTCACTGACCACAACTGAAAACAATGCATACAAATGTGCTCAAAGTCCATAGAAACACAAATTTAAATGCAAACCAATGTTGAAAATTAAAAAAAGCGCGCTGTGAAAAGGTGCAGGCCATCTTCCACCAGGTCCCCCCAAAGGTGTGCTCTAACCTGGCCATCTGACCCTCACTATAAAGGTCACATGATCGCATGAAACAGCCCATACACAGGTCAACCAGATGGTCCAATCAGTGGAGCAAAGGTGCACAATCAGGTTGTCAATCTCCAGTGGTTATCAGGATCTTAAGATTAATAAAATCAGTTTGTAAGCATGCACTATGGATTGTCTTATTTTCTTGAAGTTCTAGTAAATGCTTCTTTAATACCTTTACCTACAGGTACACTTATAATAACGTTTATAGGTAAAATGAATCGCTCCTAAACATGCACCATTTAGGAGATATTACCTCCTTTTTGATAGATGGAGTATGTGCTCTAAGGGAACAGTCTACCTGTGCCATTCCGGGACTCCCACGCACACTATTTTTATAGCATCAAAAGTAATAGGTTTACAGGACCAAGGAGCAACCTGCTTGTCCACTCGCCCCATCCCTCCCATTCTCCCACCCTTTGCTGATATAAAACTGCCGGTGAGTCTTTGGGGCTTAGGTCTGATGAAGCAGCCCTTTGCGCATGCTCCAAAACGTGTTACTGCCCCCACCTTTTGTCACCTTCGATGTATGTGTTCCACGACTCCTCCTGAGGTTCTACAGCCATCTTTGTTTTGACATCCCTACGTTCAACAGGTTACATTGCTACTGGATGGCCAGACGGCCCTTAAACCCATACCATCAGGAACATCGGTCGATTTACTACGAGCCTGTCATGTTTTGACTTCCTGTTAGTGGAATTTTATCTTTGTATGTTTAATAAACTGCCAATACTACACTTAGAGGCTCCTTCTTTCCATGTCTTTTTGCACTAGAGCTTTGCCTCAAACTCTATGAAGAGCTGTCTCCGTGTCTATTGGGTTCCCCTATCCTTGATATCCATTCTGGCACCCCCTTAATGGCTACAGAGGTCTGATTTCAGCAGGAGCGCAGTATGAACTATACTCTTAGTATGCAGTCCATACTAGCACATGCCTTTTTTACCTTGCAGGGGATTTTTTTTCTTTGGTTGCGGTTACTAAAATGAGTGCCTGCATATGCATTTTTAAAAATTCAAATCAGTTTGTCTGAGAGCACTATGGATTGTCCTTTGTTTTATTGAACTCAAGATCCAGATAACCCTGGAGATTCCCACATGGAAGAAAAATATACTGTATGTTAAAATGCATTTTTATTACAAAATAAATGAAAAATATTCATACATTTTCAAATATACTGTATGTCTTTTTAAAAATACAAATCTATATTTTTTGGAATGCATTTACAAATATGTTAATTACTTTTTTAAATGTTCTCTGAAGAATATATTTAAAAAATATAATTTTTAAAAAAATTGTGTGTGTGTGTGTGTGATATTACACAGTTGTGTTCAAAATAATAGCAGTCAGACATCAGTAACCTGATCAATCACTGTTTTTGGTAGAAATTATATTTCTACATGGCAAATAATTTACTACCAGGTGTAGTAGAATAATAGAAATCCAACAGTCATGACATGCATGCTGCTGATTCTGTGTAATTGAAAGGGGCATGTTCAAAATAATAGCAGTGTGGAGTTCTATTAGTGAGGTCATTCATTCTTTGAAAAACAGGTGGCAATTATTGCCCTTATTTAAGGAAGGAAGGCAGCAAATGTTGTACATGCTGTTCTGTCCCCACATGAAGGCGAATGAAGGTATAACTGATAATGGCTGTGTAACTTCCTACCTTCGTATCCAAGCAGTGGAGCAGACCGGACCGGCAGATGTTCAGGTTAGATGGATCCAAACGTATACACGAGAATGAAATCAGCGTGGGTTTATTTGGTCCAAAATACAGCGACAAACAGTGATACAATACTGTAAGGTAGTAGAGGTATTGATGCTGTCCTGTGATATCTTTCCTGAGGCTAACTGCTGGTCAAAAACTGATGCCTTCACAAGCCCAGGGTATTGAATGTCCTGTCACACAGCTATATAGCAGATAAAATGGCTGCAGGAAGTGACCAGAACCAAGGCTTGCCTAAAAAACCACACCCAGCAGAGAAAACACTTACTAGCTATAACAAAGGCATGCAGCATGCAAATTCTGGCCAGCAGATGGCAGCAACAGATCAAGACATAGAAACAAACATGGTGAAATAAGAATTGGTGATACACCGCACAGTTAAATAACAAATATGAGGGGAACAGCACACTCCCCGTCTGAAATTCCATAAGGGATTTCACTATGACGAATGTCCATAAAATATAAAAAACAACCTGTAACAAAGAACATGTTAGAATGCAATAAACATAACAATTATAGTAGATTCCGAGTTGGAAT